CTGAACCGCCTCGGTCATGTGACTGTTTTGTATCTCTGCCTCCGGGTTCAAAAGAAGATTATGTGATATTTGGTAAGAACTCTGACCGGCCAAGGGATGAGGTGCAGGAGGTGGTGTATTTCCCTGCATCCTCACGCGCTCCTGGATCTACAGTGGAGGTGAACTGACTTTTTCATTACATTTCATTAAAGTGCATAATATTTGCATTTAAAATACCTGCTTTCTATTTAAAATATATTTCAATATATGTTTCATATTTTCTCCCCTTTCTCCTCCAAATATGTGGTTGCTGAGTTGTGGCCAAACCATAGATGATTTACAGGTGATTCTCTTTTCCATGTAGTGCACATATATTTCCATTCCTCAGAGCACACTCATGCGGTTGTGCTGAGCAGACCCGCTTGGCTCTGGGGGGCTGAGATGGGGGCTAATGAACACGGGGTGTGTATTGGGAATGAGGCAGTCTGGACCAAGGAGCCTGTGGATCCAGAAGAAGCTCTGCTGGGAATGGACCTGGTTCGGTGAGCTCAAAACAAGCAAACGTCTTTATCTTCCTGTTTTCTAGTCTTAATATTAACCAGATGATGTATATTGTGTGTGTTGAGGCTGGGTCTGGAGCGCGGGGACAGCGCATGGGCCGCTCTGAATGTGATCACAGGTCTGCTGGAGCAGCACGGTCAGGGCGGAGCCTGCAGGGAGACCGCCGAACCCTTTAGTTACCACAACACCTTCTTACTAGTGGACCGACAGGAAGCCTGGGTCCTAGAGACTGCTGGGAAACTGTGGGCTGCACAGAAAGTCACAGGTGAGGAAAGATGATTCATGGTTAGTGGTGAATTCATAAGTTCATTTTTTTTTTATACAGTTTTTTTTCTCTCAGGATCTGTCTGAAAAGATCCAGAATCAAAGAATATATTAGCTTAAATAATATTACATATATATATATATATATATACAGTATATATGTGTATATATACTACGGCTGTGCGATTAATCGAAATAGAATCGAAATCGCGATTTGAGACGTTGCGATTTCCTAAT